GCGGGCGTTCCTGCCAGACGCTGCACGTTGGATTGGTATTGCAGTGGTTGGTGTGCAGACGAATTATCCATGAAGGGTCAGCAAAGCGCTCGATGGACAGTTGCCCCATCATTGGTGCCGCACTGGATGTGAGGGATGCTGCCGCTGTTATTTGGAGGGGAGAATATTTGTCTGCGGTGCCTGGGGACAAGCCCTCTTCGTGGTGTCTGGACACGCCTCCCACCAACACGACGGATGCGAGGGACCCGGAAGAAACGTACATCTCGGTGCTGTCATGCATGCGGCGTTGCGGTGCCTCGGCATGCGGGTGCGTCTGAGAGTGAGTGAAGAGGGTAACGCCCGTTGTGCCCCATGCACGGCCGAGGCGACGATTACGTGGGTTGCTCCGCCCTACGACGAGGGAAAAGCTATTTTCCGTGACCACGCGCAGGTGTGCACGATATCCGCCACCAGCGGCAGCCCGCTTCCAGTGGTTTCGTGGGGTGGCGATGTGAGAGGGTGTATGGAGTTGGACGGTTTCACTGGCATATGCTGAACAAGCTTTGCTACGGGCATCCGTCCCCGATCCAGGGAGCATTGGGACCGGCCGTGGCACACCACCGAAGTATGTGGACACGGCTGCTCCCCAGAAGCATCCGTCGCCAGAGGAGAAGGAAGTTGCCTCAGGTGCCACGACGGCAACGGTGTGCTCTTGCCCAGCGACGCCGCGGGTGCGCCGCAGGAGGCGGAGAAGGAGAGCGATCTTCCGGACATCGACGATGTGGCCGCCGATGGTGTGACGTCTGTTGTGGGAAAATCATTAGGAGATGAGGCCGTCAGCGACAAGACCGGTGGCGGTGCCACAGCCACGGGACCCAGGAGCCCTGATGCCGCTGATGACGCGCAGGGCGCCGTGGACCCTCCGCCGAGGGAGGATGAAGCGGCGGTGGTGTGCGGGGGTTGGGAGGCAGACATGAAGGACGCCTCGCCTCCGATCCACGGCAGTAACAGTGCGGCTGCTGCTTTTCCCTTTCCGCTGATTCTTCTGCTTGCCGCTGCCGCCGCGGTGCCAACACTCAGCAGTGGGTGCAAGAGAGAGAGGCCTATATCAACTGGCATGTTCCTGTCAGTATATACATACACTCTGCTTGTCTGTATACTTTGTACCAGGGACATGCTGTATGCACTCTCCCTCTTTTGTTGGTTGCTAATGTGGCGGCACCACGCGTGTATTATGGGTTGGGATAAGAAATTGTTTGACTTCTTCTGGAGGATACTGTGAGGTGTTTGTGTGCGTGTGCGAGGGATCTGTGTGGTTTTGACTTCCCTATTTTTATTTACCTGCTTTGGCATTGTGTAATGATGCTTCCCTTCTCCATTATGTGTGTTCTGAAGCGTTGCTAGGGCACCGGGAGTGGATGCCAGTGGACGCACGCCGTGCATTATGCGCCACATTGGTGGGAGGGGAGACTGACATAACTGGCGGGATTCAGTAAGGCACATTTTTGCCCACGGAGCCTGCAGCCGCAGCAGCCTGAGTGCG